AATGTGACCCCTCAATGAGACTGTTTTCCACCAGTGAATCTACAGCCCTGGCCACCTCTCTGGTTGGGATCCCTGCCCTGGCCGCCATTAATTCCGAGAATATTGGTGCCTTTGCCTGCAGACTGACCCATTTAATGAATGCCACGTCCCAGCCCTTAGAAAGTATGCTGGTTGATCTACATGATAGTGAAAAAGCAACCATCCAGAACATAATGGCTATAGACTACCTGCTGCTCAAGGCAGGACATAACTGCGCTGAATTCGAGGGCATGTGTTGTTTGAACCTGAGTGATCATTCAGCTTCCATCAAACAAAACATCAAGAACATCCAAGACATTTCAAAGGGAATTATACCTTCTCATGGGTGGGGGTGGGGATTGGTTTGGGAGTTGGTTCACCAGTTTGGGATCTACTGTTTATACTGTTTTAACATTTATTCTGGTGGGAATTTTATTGATCTTTGGGATTTGTCTTTGCATACAATGTACCCCCACCATAATAGCGTGCCGTGCTTCTGCGGTCCCCAGAACCCCCAGCTCAAGAGTTGAACAAATGATGATGGTTGCCAGATATTGGGCTGAGGATCCTGAGTACTCAGTTCCAGTGGACACAGCTCTTGATGGCGGCAATGAGCCTTAGGGTGGTCATTTCACCAAAAGGGGAGATTGTAGGACAAGGGGAAAAGAATGTGATTTCTGACATTCTTTCCTTGATGTATATCGACAGTTGTCACTGTGCCTTCAAAAGTTTAATCATAATAATCTTGGTATGTAACCTAGAATCTTTTAATTAGATACACTTATAGCAGAACATATATTTTATAACTGCATTTTTGTGTATAAGCCTTTGTAGATGGAATTAGGATGCAATAGAAATGGAGTGCGCAATCTGCAAGGATGCCGAGAGCAAGTTTATTGTGATTCACAGCCCTTATCAGCTAGCTCTCCATATGCAGGTCAGAAAGGAACCCAGTGTTCTCTAATGTTCCCATTATCCTGGAGACCAGATGAGTAAATGCAATCACTGACATACATGACCAGTATAAGGAGAGACCAATAGTAAGGTTTAAAGTCAAATGATGCTTGTATGATGTTAACTGCTTGGTACCAATTAGAGATTCTTTAATGTATAAACTATATGTGCTGTCATTTGGGGTATAAGACCTACTGCCCTTCCTGGTTATGGCAGAATAC